TTAGTGTAAACACACCAGACAATTTAAAGAACAAGTGATGCTAGGAACATTTTGCTGAAACATTATAGGTTGAAACACTGAAGTTCTCTTGTGCTGATAAATAGCCATGAAGGTAGCAAGGGAAAACCTGGAATCGCAAACTTTTCAAGGACCTTCTGCTTAGTGAGAGCACTGTGAGAAAATTTAGAGGAAAAAGCCGTATTACGAAAATAATCTTTCCGTGACAAAATGATACAACGTCCTAGTCTTTCATCCACCCCTATTTGTAGTGTCCATGATACTTTACTGCCACACAGTAATTCCATAAGCAGTTCAATGGGGTCCTACCCTCTCATCCCCTTCCCTCTTGTGACAGCAAAAACCTTTGGGTGTCTGTGGCTGGACAGGGTGGAGGCACTGATCCAGGTTAAAACTTTTTTGTCCTTCAGGATGGAAAGAAGTGAGAGCAAGTGGGTGGGAGCAGATGGTATACTCTGAGAAGAGCATAATGATGCACAATGTGGCCTTCTAATCTTCTGGAATTTTTTCACTATAAAAATGACCGTGTGTCAAACAGTTACTATGCAGAATTTAAGCAGCATTAAAAGGATAATAGTCCTAAAACATAATTTTCTGTGCTCAAAGAATAAAGTAAGTTATTTTCAACCGTACTTTACATTAATTGATAAACACACACAATAGTTATTTTTATTTTTAAATAATTATCTCTCTCATACTTGAATGTCTAATTTCCTTCTCCTACCTTGCATTTATTTGGATGCATGGATCTCATCTGCTTCTATTTTCTATGCACACCACAACTTGGTAAACCCACCTTTTCAGTTGCTGCTTGGTAGTTTTTAATTGTTTATTTCTCTCTTAGGGTTTCAGCAGGCATGTCGCTATTGTCAGCTTCCAGCTTGCAATCCCTCCCTGCTCCCACTACATAGGCACCCAAAATCCTTAAAAAATTCTTGCAGAATTCTATTATTTTACTTTGAAAGACAAGGCCAGAACTTTATTATAATTTTTGAAAACGGCTTAAACACCCTTTATGTGCACCTAAATGGCAGAACGCTCATCCCTATGTCACACAGCTGCACCTGTTGTCATCAACAGGTACATCGTTACCCATCCCAGTACATGCACTCCACATCACAAGTCTGCAACGAGTCCAACAGCAGGTTAGCTGAAAGCATTTACTAGGAGTTTTAAAAAAAGATGGGACAATAACGAGGAGTTATTCTGGCACGGTGGGTTTGGCTCAGCTTCTCCCAGCCTCACGCTCCCGCTTGGTCCCACAGTCTTACACCGCAGCCCCACGCCTCCTCGCCGCGGTCCCTGCTCGCACTCTCCTCCCCTCAGCCGTTTCCCCTCCGGAGCTGCTGAACGAGGAGATGAGGATCAGAGACGGCGGCGGGAGATTGAGCAAGAGCCGGGGGGAGCGAAGGGAAAGACAGGCGGCAGGAGGGAAAGAAAAGCCGTAGATGGCAGTGGCGGGGCAGGAGCTAGCTCCTCACGGCACAGCTGTCCACGGGGCGGCTTTCGCTCCCCGCTGTGAGGGAACCGCAGCTCTTCCCGCCCCGTCTGCGTCCCCTGCCCAAACTCGAGGGACAGCCTCAGGCACCACACAGACAGCAAAACCCGCTCTCCGGCCGTGCCAGCACACCCTTTCCCCACAAAGTTTCTGGCTTCCCAAGCGGCAGATTATCCGCGCCCCCTCCCCGCGAGAAAGCGTCCTCCCTCCGCCGCCCTTTCTGTAGGCGAGCATCAGTGCCCGTTTTCCTCAGGGCCGTCCGGAGCCGGGGGTCGCGACTCCCCCACCCTTACCTCGCCGCCCGGCTGTTTCCCCGAGCTCTCCCCCCCC